TACATATACATATACATACACATACACATATACATATACACATACACATACACATACATATACATATACATATACATATACATATACATATACATATACATAAACATACACATATACATAAACATGCACATAAACATAAACATAAACATATTCATATACATATACATATATATATATATATATGCTACCCCCCCCTCATGTATCTACTGTTTGTCTGTGTTGGCATCATGTTGGTGCTACACTTTGTTTGCTTCTAGTCTTTAACTGATACGGGAGGCGGCTGTGTGATGGTAACACTGTGATTCCGAAGTGGATATGTACTGTATGGCTGGTCCAAATGGCTGTGTAGATGCAGTGGATCCACGCAGTGCTGACCTGATTCGCATCGTGAGCATGTGCATACAGCAGATATGAGCGAGCATGTTTTCCAGACCACAACGCGAATGAGAAGATGCGGGGTAAATGGACTCACGACCAGCGCGAATGAGAAGATGCGGGGTAAATGGACTCACGACATGAATTTCTTCATGGAGTCCTGGCAGAGATGTCCGGTGGCCACCCACAAATCGTCAGTGCGGTGCCAGTATTCGTACTGGGCGCTTCTGAGCTTGGCTCGAAGCAATGCACTGCCACACTTTGTGTGCTGATTGACGCGAACACGCTCCTTCAAGAATCGCCAGCACCGATCTATGATCTGCGTGCCTGACTTGACATTCAAAGTCTTACCCTTACCGCCGGGGAGCTTGTGCTTCACAATGCGCACATAGTGTGGTGCCCTCCACGTCCATTTGCCCTGAATCTTGACCCTCTTCTTGCAGTGGACAACGCGGTCATGCAGCACGCCAGAAACCTTCAGCTTGTAACTTTTGGCGGAATCTGTGTGCAACACGACCTGGCGATTCAGGAGCCACTTCGCCGCCAAGCCCTTCCATTCGATCCTTCGAATGGCACCGGGCCCAGGGGCTCGCTTCACTGTGATTTTCGGCTGCAACTTGTAGAGGATCAAGGTTTCGGGCCTGCCGCGCTGCACGATCCCCGCCCACTGCTCCCACATGATGGTGGCGTTAGGCGACTTGATGAGGTGCTTGAATTCCAAGCAATTCGAAATGTCCCTTTTGTCAAAAGTCGCTTCATCCGCTTCTACATCAACCCATGATTTGCCATTGCCGAATTGAATAGCCTTCTCCTTGCTTTCCACGTGCTCTTGCCGGAGTTTGCAAAGTTTGCGCTCCACATCCTCAATGGCTTTGTGGTTCACGTTCAAGAGCATGTGGATAATGCTTTGCGGAACTCTGTGGAGCTTGAGAAGCAGCAGAGCGGCTTGGGACTGTAGAGGTTGTGATTGGAGACCTTGCCCTTCTGTGAAAAGAGGGTGTAGGTGATGCGGGTTCATCCATAGCTGACACGCCTTGCGACCGCAACGATGCTTGAGTTGACCACTGCGTCCTTCCACCTTGAGCTTCGAAAGGGTTCCCTGGCAACAGAAGGGGCACGTTTTCCCTTCCCATTTGGGCAGCAACTTGTCTGCAATGAGGATGCGAATGATGTGGGAGTCGGATGCCTTGATGAGTTCTGGCAAAGTCCTCTTCCATTTGATCTGATCCTTGCGTTGTCCGCGTGGTTGGACTCCGTTTTTGTCCCTCGTGTAAGCAAGGTTTTTCCACAGGCTAGACTTCATGATGGCCGGCCGCTTCTGGACCAGGCGCATCTTGCCTTTTTTGGCAACGACAACAGAAGGAGCACTCTTGCCCATGTTGTATGCCCGGTGGAAGATGTTGGAAGATGTTGGTGCTACGAACAAGACTACTGCACAAGCGAGCCAAAACTGACATGATTGATCAAGCAACGGTTGCCATGCAATGCATTGGGCGCGGGCACTGAGAAATGCAAGATAGAGACGATTTGGACGGCCTTGTTTTTCCAGCACTGTAGCGGACTCTAGCGAACTGCATCATGGCATCAAAACCTCCCGAACAGCACTACACGGTGTGTTTCATGTAAGAGTGGACGACTACGACAGTGAGTGTGTATGCGCGTGTTATGGTATAAATACAACCTATAGATATATAGGTATATGTAGAGTCATAATCCTAGAAAATATAACCGAATATGTAAATAGGTACATACCACTTTGCAACATTGCGACACCACTCTACATGGGTAGACTTCATATAGGAACTAAAACATGTACTGTGGAGACGATGGGACTGTTGCGGGAGTAACCCCCTGAATAACAGCTTTGAGAAGGTATGAACATGTGAGCTTCATGGCATCAGATCTTGTAGTAGGCGACCAGTCTGCGATATTGAGGATCAGAACTCCTAGTCTTCCTCCATGTAACTTTCCAATTCTGCCTCCAAGTCGTCCATGGGGTCGACTACATCACTCGCGACATCCATTTGGCTGCCTGGAGAAAGGACAAGCGCAGCCGATGCCTCCGCAGGGACAGGGTCAGAATGGGAGGGACTGTGGATGCCAACGGGCTCAGCATGAAGATCGACAACACCTGCTGCATTGGAAGTGACCTCTTCGGGCATTTCCGCCTTCACGTCCGAAGTAATTGCCGTCTTGGAAACCTTCTTGGGGGGAGAGCAAAGGTCGATACACTGGCCGGTGAGACCAGTCAAAGCTCTGCGAAACTGGAAAGACTCTTGCTTCACAGCGACCGCCTCTGGGAAGGGAGGTACCACCCTTGATGAGTTTGCTGAAGTAGATGATGCTGGCAAGTTGCGAGGGGGCGACACTTCACGACGAGGGCTTACACCACGAAAGAGACGACGAACGGCATCTGCATTTCGGATTGTTGGTTTGGGCTTTGGCAATGTTTTGCCATTGAGGAGTGCATCCACATAGCTCGCCTCCCATTCCACGTCCTTCTCGTAAGACGAAGGTTTGGAAAGCTTGCCGTGGAGATACTGGTGGTACTTTTGCTGTCCATCAAGCTTGAGGTAGTCCACATGACTTTCCATCGAGAGACAGGGCACGGACTTTTCATGCTGGCCTGCCTCCCTGAAAACCAGGAGTTTGCCGATGTTCACCAAGATGTTTGCACGCTTCAAAACCGCCATGATGTGTGGTGGAGGCGTGTCGTTGGGAAAGACAGGGCGGATCACCTTCAGGAAGTCTTCATGGGGCATGTGAGAAATAGTTCCAGACACCAGGTCCTTGTGGGCTTCCACCCAAGCTGTGGTGTCGTAGTCGTTACAGACAAACACCCGAAACTGACCCTGCACGAACTTGGCTGCCCCCCAACGTTCCTTAGTCAACATCGTGCAGCCTACATCTGTGAAGCCTTTCATCTTGCGAATCGGCTCCTCAGCAAGGCGCCCATCGTCATGTATATCTGGGCGATCCTTGCGGCCAGGTTGTCCGCGGAAGAAGTCGAATTCAGAGGCTTCGCGAAAAGAAGGCGGTGATGTCAGGGAAAGTTGACGTTTCCAATAGCGAGAAGCGCACAAAGCCAAGATCCTTGCCAGTGGCGTCTTCCCGCTACCTGGCCCACCCACGATGCCTGCAGCTCGGGTAGTCATGCTCTTAATGATTTGGTTGATGCCAAAATGCAGCGCGTCAAATTCCAGGTCTGCGAGAGTAAGGTAGAAGTCCTCTATGGGCAGGGAAAGAACACCATCTGTTTGGATAGCCCGAAGCGATTTTTCAACCACTCCGACGGGCCATTGATAGATTGGTGAATCCGCGTTGATGTTCAGGTTCTTCGTGATCCACTGAACCCTTTTGTACTCACTGGCGAGGTGGGCCGCCTCCTGCTCGATGAAGGCGAACCCCTTGTCGATGTCTTCTTCACTCAGATCTCCCAAATGGAAACCACCACCTGAGCTCTTTTGCTGATGTGCGTACGTGGGAGAAAGACCGAAGAACCTGCATTGCCAACCTCCCAGCTGTTCAAGAAACCATTGAAACCCTTTCTTGAAGTCATAGACGTTGTGGCCTTGCCATTTTAAGCCATAGACTGATCCGTAGCAAAGTTTGTCAATCACGTCCCTTGTCAGCTTCACGTCAGGAGCTTGCACATGCTTCAGGACGCACATGTTACCGTTGTCTTGCGGGAGAACTACGAATTGGGTAATAAGCTTGACATCCATGACAGTCTTGGGACAGAACGGAGCAGGAGCATGAGACCATTTTCCTTGGTTGACGACAGACTCGATCATCTGCTTGTTGGGTGGCGGTACATCCATGATGACATCAACAAAGTGCTTGACCATGCACTTGTCTGGAAGGGCAGTCATGGGAAGATCTGGAATACTGACACCGCCGCAGGCCTGGTCTGACCATACTGCATATGGAAGCGGCCTGGATAGGTGCATGCCGCGGGTTGCGTTGATGCCTGTCGTGCAGTCCGTGTTACCATCACGAGCCGCCATGGGTTCTGATGAAGCTACAGGGATTGCTACTTGTTGCTAACTGTTCGAAATCCTCACTGCTTCGGTGGTAGGACACCATGGCATAATGCATGAATATGCACACCACGCCACTCATAGTGCAGACACAATGCATGCACACAGCTGTCTTTTCGCATTCGCGAAAGTGTAACAGTCTGAGTTCACTGCGTGAGTTCTTTCAACAGCAAGGCATATTCGAACTTAGCTAGATGCACTTTCACAATCGCCAAAGGGCATCAGTCTGAGCTCACTTGGTGAGATCTTTCAGAAGCAAGGCGTATTCAAACTCGGTGAGAGGCACATCGTCGCCGTCTGCGTCCATGGAGAAACAGTTGTCCTTGCATCTCCAAACCACGGTGCCTTTGATGAAAGTTGTGACTGGCATTACAATCAGGTTGAGTCTGACACATCACAACACATGTCAGTTGAATTCATGCCCAGATGCCGTTTGCAAGCGTGCGATAAGGACGAGGATGATGAGTTGGAGCAGATGGTATTTTGCGTGGGTCTTCTGGCACATGGTCGAGCACGAGCATCAGAATGTCGTTCGCCACATGGCGTGGTAGATTCTTCCATATGGAAACATCGAACTCCCATTGTATCATGACCATGTTGTGTCAGAGAGGGCTACTGAGCTCAGAACCACGTCAGGCTGCGCGCCAATATGTCGTACACGTACACCACTGCTTCAAGAGTACCACACACCGGCTTGATGATACTAGTAGTAACAACTACAAACACGAATACGAGTAACTGCTATCGTAGTAAATAACAATGGTAATAGCTTGCTTTCACAGGATAGTCTAGAGTCTAGTGTTGGAGTCACGAACCAGCCACGCGGTAACATGCCCCTAGAGTGGTACCAATCGTTTATCCTTTGACACATAACAATAATGAGAACAGCAATATTATGCAGCACACCGAAAACATGGATAAAGCTAATGTTTAGTGCATGATGAATGTCAAGAGTGCCAAAACCATTGCTAAAACTAATGTTCCCTGAATGATGGGTGTTATAAACATTGGTAAAACCAATGTGTCGTGCAGGCTGGATCTCAAAATCATTGGTAAAACCAATGCTTCGTGAATGATGGATGTCGAAACCATTGATAAAACAGGCTTCATTAGATTACCTTAATGAAAGTGGGATTCATGTGCAACTTGCAGTGCTACTCTGTAGTCGAAGCTCTGGCTTTCCAATGAGTCGTTTGGGTTTAAGGATGTTTAGGGTATTTGGGATTCCCCCTTTAAAGCCTAGACGTAGAGGAAACTCCTGGCAGTGCTGCTCTGTAGTCGAAAACCAGAGGCTTAAGGGCTTGGGGATATTTGGGACTTAATAAAGTGTGTGCCTAATCCTAAGGTTGTTGCAATTCCTCACACTCACAACTCGCACGTCTTTTTGATGCAGCGCTTCACGAGGGCTGCCATCGAGGACGCCTCCGGCCTGGCCGGGCAAAGCAAGCTCAATAAATGATGGAGCAAGACAACGCATTGGCACGAGTCAAGCAGGTCGGGCACTTCATTGATTTTCCACTCAGCGGTGACGGTGTGTGCCGGCAAATGACGAAGGAGCACTCAAAAGTTGATGCCATCCGTATATTGAAGGTGCTTATGCAATGCATGTTGGTGTTTACTGTACTGTATCGACACGAAGGCGAAAGCCCAGATGGAAAACCCACGGCCAAGGCATCAACAATGCTCCCGATGACAATACAATAAAGCCAAAAACCAAGACGGCAGGCCCAAGGCGAAGAGTGCTCCCAGGCGAGAACGGCTTGCACCGAGGGAGAAGGCCAGACTACGGAGCATAAACTGGAAAATTATCGAGCATACCATAAGGATGCTCCTGAAATCTTGCATGAGGAATCAGAAAAATCTTCCGCTCAGCAACAACGCCGTTATTTGAGTCGCACGACGATTTGCAACAGGTCTGCTCTTCGGCTGAAGGTCTCTGAGCTCTGATTTCCTCATACAATCACAGCTCTAAGGGCTTAGCCGGCTCAATGTTGAGCTGCTTCTTCACATACAAGCACAAGCCACGTGGCTTCAGCACCTGACCTTCCAAAGCCATGGACCAGCACAGACCCGCCGAAGACGAAGTAGAAGTGGCGGCATAAAGGTCCAGGTAGAGGGTCTCGTCGGGCAGCAGCATCAGCGGCAGTCCTGGCGACAGCAATCATGAGTGGACATGACATGACATGACGTCAAACAAGCAGCATGTCCCGTCACTCCACAAGACTCAAGACATGTTCGCACAGGCCATGCCAGCACTGTCGGCGAGAGCAATCATGACATGACATGACGACAAGCAAGCAGCATGTCCCATGACTCCACAAGACTCAAGACATGTTTGTAGAGGCCACGCCAACACTGTCGGTACCCAAATCCGCTCGCAGGGAGGACACAGAATCTCACCCGGAGAAGTTTCACAATAGAAGACCGGGCAGCCCAAGACAAGCAAATTCAAACTCTGTGACAGGCACCTGGCATTTGGCATTTGACAAAATGAGAGAAAGAATGTCAGCAACATCCGTGACAAATGTATGAAGCAGGCGACAAAACAACCGCAGAATTGCCCGTCCTTCCACCTCAATCTTCTTCGCCCCTGCCACGACGGGCTTGTAGCCATGAGCCTGCTTGGCGTTGTTGGCGACGATGGCGTCCTCCAAGGTGCAGAGCTTCTGGTGGCCCAAGTCGAAGACCATCCCCTTCATGGCCAGATTGTACGGGATCGTATTTGGCAATGGCTCTGCACTTCTTTGAAATGCGCCACCACCAACCCACTTGGCCAAAACCGTTTCTCGCGGGATCCTTTTGTTGCTGCTCTCGTGAGAGGTTGCCAGCAGCTTCCCTTCCGACAGCACGAAATCCACCTTCGGAGAGGCAATGCTCGCAATCGCCGTACCAGGCAACGAAGGCGATGTCGAAGGTGCAGGCCCTGTCGAAGGGTTTGTCGCAGCCGGCTCGGCCTTGGCCTTCGGGGTCGGCTTTGGCTTGGGAACGGCGGGTGCCCCAGGAAGCACAGTCTGCACCGGAACGGGCTGCACGGGTGGAGGCGGAGGCGAAGGCTTTGCCTCTGTGGGCTCCACTGCCTGCTCTCATATCAGAAGGTGTCTGAACATGAAAGGGCAAGACTTGTATTCATAATACCAGAAACAATATAGTTAGATAGCTGATTGATTGTTGAAGGTTACCAGGTTACCAGGCGGCTCGGGTCGCAATCTAAACCCTGTCTAAACTTAAACATCGACAGATTTTGGAGGCAGTGTGCCTGAACACCCATGTCGGCATCATTCTCTGTGTTCGCCGCCCTCACAAAGAACTTGTCGAGCATGCCCATGAACTTGGCGTCGTCCTCGGTGGATGTGCGGGCGATCTTGGTGCTCATGTCGAACTCGACACCGTAGTTTATCGTGATCTCCGCCCTCGAGGCGATGCCCACACCGTTGGGGGTGCAGGCTTCCAAGACCAAGGCGAAAGTTGCAGGGGACATCGTCAGCTTGGCATTGGGGCGTCTCGTGCCACGGAAATCGTTGGTGAACCTGGCGGCCCCTACCAAGACGCAGAAGAGCCTGCATGGCTCGCCACGAACAAGCATGTTTTCGACGACCACGACCTCAGAAAGTCGACTAGCTGCAGCTTCTCTGATAGAAGGAAGGCCCATTAAACAAAAAAATACATCACCGTTTCAGCTAATCCAATCCACACACAGCCAAGTTTCGGAGTCCACAAAATAATCGTTCGCCTGGAGGCATTGCAAGAGCTTGCTCTCGTCCGTAAAGTAGATGCAGGAGCAAGGGCAAATGATGTCTCCTTCGCGAATCGACCGGTTGGTAACCAGCCCGCGGCCTCGACCCTGGAACTCCTGGACGCAAAGTCCGTGTGCATCGAGTTCGGCCTGCATGAGGTTGATGGACACCTGAACAGGTATAGAAAGCTAATCCTGGACAATTATGCGTCACCGCACTATTTCGTCTTGGCTCGAGATTCTTTGCCAGGCCTCTCGCAAGTTCGAGGGATAGGAATCCAAGTGGAAGAAGGTCCCAAAGGAATCAGGCGACTTCTCCAGGAACTCCACCATCTGTTCATCGGGCAGTTTCGGTCCACGGATGTAGTGCGACTGCATGTCCGTCTTCCCGAACTTTCTCTTGACGCCGACGCTTTGGGCTTCAGTGAGCTCCTTGTACCGAAGTCCAGCCAGGTAGCCGAAGGCGATCTCCCTGCCATGGGCAACCGAATGCGAAGACACCTCAGACTTTAATTTTGCTTACAGGACATCTCGAGCTCAGAAGAAAGAAACTATCATCAAGAAACTGAATGCAGGTTCGAAGCCTTTTTCAGCAAGGCGAAGACGGACATGCCTTCCTGGCGGCCCGCCAGCCAAAAGGAAGGGTGGGCAGTCGACGTCATAGCGACTGCCGTTGAGGACCCTGTCGTCATCATGACCTCGACCAAGAGCTTGCGGTAGAATTGCACTGGCCTGGTGAACGGCCACAGGTCCACGATGTACCGCTTGTCCCCCTCCTGTCCGCCCCCCTCCTTGTTTTCCACCTCCACCTTTGTCAACAAGTTGACGTCCTCCTCCTCCATCCCAGCAGCAGCCATGATGTCGAAGGCGGGGCATTCCCGGTGCTCCATGTCCAGCTCCTTGTCATTCATTCGTCTTATGCACTAGAAAGAAAGCTCGACTCTGCAGATCACCTTGTGTCTGATGCTGCGCCGAGTGTCTTGATCAGTCGGCACCTTCTGATTGGGGTCATTGGTGTCCATCTTGAGCATGGAAGCCTTCTCTTGATCGGTGCGAAGACCACCTTACCGGGGGACATAATCTTCCACTCACAAGCTGCCTGCACACAACGGCGGCTATCTGCTCTGCGGACAAGTAACATCCACGATCCAAGCATCGAAGGCGAGTCTGCTCCAAGCCTCGTGCTCTGCTTTTCAGCAAGGCCAGCGATGCCGGCACGTTGAATTGCCCCGCACCCATGTGGGAGACCAAAACATAGGCTGGCTTGGCCTTCAGGAGCTGCAATTCCCCGGCATTCAGTTGGACCACGTAAATAACAGCCTTCGGCCACATCTTCTGCATCTTGGCTTGCCTGACGATCATGTTCAGAATATGACTCTTGATGATTGTCTTTCAACACTGTCGTTCGTTCATTTACTGGTGTTTTCAACTTTCCTATACATTCATTTCTGGCCAAGATACACAGCTCCAAGCAAGTCCCAACGTGATCCAACCATCACACCGATGCTGTAGTTGGAGAGGCTCAGCCGCTGTACTATGGTTTGAACGGTTTCCAAGAAGCCTGCCGTTATGAGGACTCGGGAGGTGGGGGCATCCAAAACGAAGGCGACGCGCTGAGACTGTAGCACACGAGGGGTCATGTAGTCTTCCAAAGTACGCTCGTCGAAGGCGAGGAAGATCTTGTCCATTTCCGCATGGGCATGCTCCTTGCTTAGTGGTTTCAGCACTCTTTGCACATCTATTCCACTTTCAGGACTGTTACTTCCGAGCTCGGACTCCACAACAACTGATTCTCGAAACGGAGAAAATGCCGCTGAAGCTTCTTTGCTCTGCTTCTCCAAGGGATCCTCCGCCTCTTCGGTCACGAAGCCCATGAGGTCATCCTCACCAGTGTTGGCGCCCGAGGAGGTTGCGGCAGCGGCAGTGGCACCTGAGTCGAGACGGAGGTGGACATATTACATTTACGAAGAAGCTTGCAGATCATGCCAAGGCCAGGGTCAGTCTTAAACAGCACCCGGCCGTATCGACAAAATGGTGTTACTCAAGACTCCCAACGGCCCAATCCAAATCAAAACAACTCTGAAACAGTAAACAGCCAATCTGCGAGAGGAGCCTCCCGAACCTGTGCTCGCCGCATCTGTGGCACCTCCGGGCCCTGCACTGCCGGCGATGTGCTTGGACATCTCTAGGAAGATGTCCCTGCACATCTGCCTTACTTCTCCAACAAGCCAAGAAATACAATGTTAAACTTTCAGATTACTAAACTACAAGAACCCAAAAAGATTAAAAGGTTGGGTATTATCGGAGAACCAAGCTGCACTCCCGGTTGTGCATCGGAATGTCCCTGGAGGGGCACTCCTTGTTGTACACAGGCGGCTACACTTTGCAATCCACCTTTCGTGCACAACGTTTGGATCGCCCTTTCGAAAGCCGGACTCTGTGTTGCCACCGATCCGAACTTCCTGATCTGCGCCTGCTGCCACAACCTATACTGAACTTAGACCCCTAGCAAAAAAAAATAGCCGTTTCTTAGTTCTTAGGGATTAATATAGTAACCAAAGATTAAAAAATTCTAAGTACCCCGGAGCAACTCCACGACTCTCAATGGCTGGCACACCAGAGTCTCGAAGGCGACCTTGCTGAAGATGGCGCCCTCCTTCTGCTGCTCGAGCCACAAGTCCAAGGCGATCCTAAGTATTTCTACAAATGACCTTCACAAGCCTCCGTAGTTGTTAGCATGGATACAAGAGTCAAGACAAGCTTTTGTGCCACCAGGGCACAAGGCGAACGAAGGCGACATGCGGTTGCGTGCCTTCAATCCCTCTCCCATCAAGTAGGAATTGTCGAACACGTGGGTTGGCAAGATAGCCTTCCGGTATCGCAATGCCTCCTGGACCTGCTCAGGAAGATACCGCTCCAATCTCACCCACCGTTGAATGGTGGTTTTCCTGGGCTGTGAAGCAGAGAAGGCAGGAGAAGAATCATAATATAAGAATGCCTAGTTAATCATACAACGTTAGAATACACAGGATGCTTATCCAGGAACCAATGTCTTCCCAGAGCCCAACACGCTTTGCAACCGCTTCGACACCTGAGCATAGTCATTGTTGTTGACCTTTGCCTTCATGAGGCGGACCACCCGCACCATGTCGTACAGCGAGGTGGCCTGGTATTTGTTGTTGTCCACGTCATGGGCGCCGGTTTGAAAGGCGACCCGCACCTCGATCTGCTCGGTGTCGTAACGGACGAACTCGAGGAAGACACCTTCCGTGAAGACCTTCACAAGGCGAGTGTCGAAGACGAAGGCGACCTCAAGTTAGGCAATGGTTTGGGTTCGGTTCAATAATGATTCAACGCAATGAATGATGCACACACACACACATACACACATCAGACATGTATAGCAACAGCTGGGTAGGATAACTAAGCATATTGAGAACACTCTGAAAATTTGCCTTATCATGTTCCCACCTCGTCGTCCTCGCAGGTCTTCGCCTGAGCCACCTCCCACTCGGCCTGCAGCGTCTGCAAGGCGCACACTGTGGACAGGCCGTCGTCCAGCAGCATGTGGCCTGAGGAATCCAGCATCGGTCGGTCTTCGTGGGAGTGGTAGAGGGCTCTGGGTCCACGGAGCAGGCCTGTGTTGTAGTTGCCTGGTGCCCGGAAAAGCTCCACCAGCTCCTGGATGCGATCCTCATCCTTGTCCCTCCATCCGGACACTGCAGGATCCACGCTGATCTCGGACCTTGGAAAAAATGCTTAACCCCGTTTCCGGATTCTGGACATGTTTGAAAAGTTGCAGAATCCTAACAACTAGGAAATAAAGTTTATCTGTATCTTCAATTTCGGCCCAGAAACAGTGGCATCCTCTTTGCTTCGACGACTTGAGGAGCTTGCACCTGTTCGACTTTGGAACCTTTCGGAGGCATCGCGAAGGGCGAAGGCGAGGAGCACGAAGACCAAAACGATGGCGAAGGGCGGCGAAGGCAAGGAGCACGAAGACCAAAACGATGGCGAAGGGCGGCGAAGGCGAGGAGTAGATTCTACTAATCAAAGAAGATTTTTCATGCCGAGAATCAGAAGCTGTGCATGACAGGATGTGCAGGACTGAGAATCTGAGAGGATGTGCAGGACTGAGAATCTGAGTCAGAAGCTGTGCATGACAGGATGTGCAGGACTGAGAAGTCCTTGACTTACCCCACAGCTTCGGCATGCGGTCTTGGCTTGCTCTCATCACCAGCTTGCAACACACAATCACAAGTGCATCTCCCACAGAATTTACGCATGAAATGCAGACATTCACAGTACTTGCTGCGATGACACACACGTCTGAGATTCTGAATTGTAACCTAGCAGCACTACCAAGACGAAGGCCAACAAAAAATCTGGGCAAAGGCCACGTGTGCAAGCAATGAAACGGTCCGGTGCCTCGGCAGCGGCTGGAGTCCACGGCAAGAAGGCCCTGGCATCGAATCGGATCATGTCAGCAGACCGGAAATGCACACCGCACAGCAAATGCAAGAGAGAGGTCTGACTGAGCAAAGCATGACCGACACTTGTGCGGCATTTGATCATAATTCTCACGCAGCGGGACACTCGGCCTTGCAGTTTGTAATTCCATCCTTTGGCAAAAATCTCTGGGACATGGCTGCTGTTATCTACCTCTTCCATAGGTCCCGCGCCTGGACAGCTGCTCGAGTCCACCGCAGCACGACCTTGGCGCTGTCTCTGTCTGACTCAGTCAGCATCAGCAACAATCAAGGCCGTGGAATCCTGGAAATGACCCACAAAAGCAGCAGCACGGCTCATTTTTTCCTAGCACACGGCAAGCTTGTGGCTCAGGTACGCTGTCGGCGCCTTGGAAGTGGTGAGCCTTGTTAACGAAGGAGGCGACGGACTCGGCCCTTCTCCTTGCCTTTGCCCTTCTCCACGGAGCCACCCTTATCCTTACCTTTGCCTTTGTCCAAGTCCAAGGCGACGTCATCCTTGCCCTTGCCCTTGTTCCAGCGGCCTTTGCCCCAGCGGCCTTTGCCCCAGCGGCCCTTGTTCACGAAGGCGACGTGATCCTTCATCTTGCCCTGGCCCTTGCCCTTGCGGTCCTTGCCCTTGCGGCCGGAAAACAACGGCTCCTCGGCCTTCCGCTTCTTATCGCCCTTGCCCTTATTGTTCTCGAAGGCGAAGTCCACCGACCGTTTGACCGGTCACACGGAACCAGTGCGCGCGGCAGGTGGGCCTAACAGGCCCACGAAATGTGAGGAACGGGTTCGAAGGAGCACCGACAGCGATATTGCCGCATGACCTGTTGGAGCTCAAGAACAAGTAAATAAAACGGTGTTGATTGCGAGATGCCGAAATGCAACGAGCGCCGGCTGAGCGGCCGAAGGTGGACCGTATCCAGCATTGGGCGCCAGGTCCGTAACATGCCCTGGAGGGCTTCACAGAGCTCCAGAACGGGGGTCCGGTGTGTGGCTGTATATTGGCCAACAGTGATGTGCATCAAGTGCGGCTGCAAGAAGGGAAGGAATGGTATTTGCACGCACAAGCACACATAGATGCAACCGTCCCCTGGCATCCAATCAACACTGAGATCCACGCTGGTCACGGCACGCGGCTGGCTGCAAGTTGCAAGTTGAACAGATCGATAATGCTGCTCAGGCGCATCTGCAACGGGCAAGGACATATACCCCTCATCTCGGAGGGCAGCTTCAGCTCGCGGCCGTGGACGCGGCAAGGTGGCAGGTTGAGGAGCACTCATGGCAGGCTCTACTCGAAAAATTTTTCCTCGGCAAACTCAGCCTTGAGCACACCGCCGGAAGGCATGATTCAAAATCGCACAGGAAATTAATGCAAGTGGCATCTCAGCACTGCATGCATAGAATCAAGAGAGCAACTGAAAGACCGCATCGTCTTTACATTATCTTTTGTGAGTCAGCACAACTCTCCAGAATGTCACGCCTTCTGCTGAAATCGCAACATCAACATGGCTGCCGGTCTCTTCCTCCCGGCTCAGGCTGAAGAGGATTCTCCGTCTGTTCGCCATTCTACTTCTGATTCTATTTCATCATATCCATGAATACAATGACAGAGTAGCAATGCTCTAGATTGGTGTGGCTGAGAAACGAAGTCCAAGTCAGCTCCAACACGAAGTCAAAATTCCCTACAGAGGGAAAACGAGGTTGCAGCCAAACAGAACAATGCAGCTTCGCTGCCTTTCCGTGCCCGACTCTTCGACATTTCAAAGACTAATCTGCGATTCCATGTGGATTGGCTTCAGCCCGGACGCCGTCCACGGAAAACAGTGCTTGACGTTGCCTCTTCCAAGCTTGGCCCTCCTCGCTGCCCATCCACGTGGCAAGGCGCCGCCTGGCATCCGACCTGACCTCATTCCCGGTCTTGCGACCTGGAGTAATGAAGATCGGCAGAGTCTGTATCCGACCACCTTGCTAGCGGCAATGCATACCACCCAGTAAGAAAGAGTTTCTTTTTTTCCATCATTAAGCAATAGCACTAAGATTATCATAAATGTTCTAATTCATGACTGAGAGACCAACTCGCAAAGTTCTAGCCTTTGCAGCATCCACTGCATCCAGGGTCCGCGGTGCATGCAGCTCCTTGTGGGCAAGACGATCTTGCTGAAAGCGCTTGGCGGTCCACTTGCCCAGTAGCTCTTGGCCAAAGGAGGTCGGCAGATGGCGGCGCATTGATGTAGCCTTGCGAGGAACACAAATACATGCGGAATTAAATTGTAAGATAGCATAACCCTGTAGGTACGACTGCGGCAAAAATCCTTGCTCAAACATAATTAGCCAAGGAAGCTTTTCGGTTGCTCTGTTTCCGGGTAGCTGCAAGCTTCCGAATGCCAGTCTCTGCCCGACCCTTCTTGACTCTCGCTGCCTTGCCTTTGCGGGTGAGGTGCGGTCGTTTCCCGGAATCCAAAAGCGCTCTGGCAACGTCTTTCACAAAGGCCTCGTCACGGTCACCGCCCAAGCCCTCAAAGCCCATCTCGTAAAGACGAAGACGAGAGGCCACACGAGAAGGCGTCATGTTGCTGCCCTTGTCGAAGAGCCTGCCCAATAAAGACCCCACCCGTTCACAAGTTGAAGATGCTGCTTGCATCGTCCGACAGCATGCCAGAAGGAAGGCGGCGTGGAACGCATGGGTGTTTGCAGAATTCGGACCTTGGCTGACTGTTGAACCCTTCCTAAAACTTACACTTATAGCTTCCTGATTACTGTTCATATAGTAGAAACCCAAGCAGCTAAAGTCCGACGACCAGAAGAATGCCAAGGGACGATTGCGAAGAGCTCGTGCAAAGTCGGGCACGGCGGCAATCGAGGCCGTGACTGCCTGAGGATCCACCTGCTGCTCCACACGGGTGACACGCACCAGCCGATGAAGGCATGGCCGAAAAGTCAGCATCGCATACTCACCCACATCCAGAGACCGGCCCCGGGGCAGTGCGGCATGCTTTCGCTGGGGAACAAACCCCTCTCCAGACCTGCACTTCCACAGACCCGAAGCCGAGACTTCGAAAGGCGAAGGCGATGGGCAGGAGAACAAGAACCGCATAATGCGATCGGTCAGGCTGATTTGAATCACCTCTGGCTCATCCCGCATGATACGCTGGGCCACCAAGAGTCTCACACCGAGCTGGCCATGTTGCACACGAACCACGGTGTAGCCGGATGCAGAGAACCAGTTTGTGCGGAAACGTTCTATACCGGCAGCAGACCGAACCCTGTTCGTCCTTGGAACGAGAAAGCTTCATTGACATGAAGCTTTAAACTTCATTCATTTTATATTCAGAATCTTCATGATATCTTCAATAACCGATCCTCCAATCTCTCGAAGGTAATCGCACAAAAGAACCTTTTAATGTCAGGGTTTCGGTTATGTTACTGTTCTTCTTCTTAAACAAGGATATGGAATGCAGCAAATGCAGCAAAGGCACAGCCTCTCATATTGCAACCTCAGTTCATGATCTCCAGCAGGCGATGCCGAAGGCCAAGGCTGAACTCGGCATCCAATGTCTCTAGAATGAGGCTTTGCTGCATGTTGCACGAACTCCCTGCATGTGCGGGCCACCCGCAAGAAGGCCTCTTTCTGCTCCGGTGTTGGTGCCTGCTGAGTGAGAAGTCGGAAATCCCAGCATGAGGCCATATCTTTCAGCAGTTGTTCCACCGCGGGCGCCACACCTCTGCCGGACCAGTACTCAGTGAAATAAAACATCAACTTGTCGATGAGGATGCCAACCTCCTGCAGTGCCTTGTCGGTCGCCGCATGAACCAACGGTGCTTGCCGAGGTGCGATGCATGCATAGAAATGATGCCGGTACATCCTCGGCTGGCTTTGACACACTCTCCTTCCGGTCAAAGGAGGAGACTACCTTGTAGGTAGCTATGATACTATGGCCAAAGCACTGTCCATCCTCACAGCAAAGCCAAGCATCGGCTCGCCCTGCAGACTTGGAGGCAGCTTTGGTTGGATCATGGTTTCGTACCGTGGAAGCACATCAACCAGGTCCGGAGATCGAACATCTTGGCGGCACTGTTCAATCGTCAAAGGCGACCGT